ACGTTGCTTTTATGATTATATGTTTTTTCTAACCACCATTATTTTATTTTTATTTTTTACATTTCATAGGCCCCGATCACACGCAGAATTTGCCACGGGATACTCACAAATGCCGGCCGGATTTCACTGGCGCGGTCAAAAGGGCACGTCTGGCCAGTGTCTCACACCCGTCGGCAACCCGTAGCAGTCAGCCAAAGAAGCGGAGTTAAAAAGTACCTGTGAAAGTCCACTCTCAAATGGTTTGCGATGGACCGCGGACGCACTCGCTCTGTGTGATCGCTCCAGCGCACTCCTTTTGCCTCTGCGCTTCCTCGTTGGAGCGCACCGGAAATATGTGCCCAAGGGATGAAACCTGGTACACTGCCGTCGCGTCTAATTGCCTCGGGGCGGGGTAAATTGCGACAGCGTAACTAGCCACACCTCCCCCCCGGGGCATGTGTGACCGGGGCCATATTTAAGCAAATCTTGGGCTTACCCCAGCTTTATAGAACAACCATCTAGGTCTGTCACAGTGGGGATAAAAAAATTTTTTTATACTTCATGGTCCAGTTCAGAATTAGATACAACAAACAGAGGACCCATGAAATTCACGAGGGAGGGGAAGGAATCCTTTCCCCCATTTCTGGCTGGGGGTCCACGCACCAGCCTGTAGTACTGCTACCTCCATCTCCCAGGCTCATGTGGTGGTGGGCGGAGGGGGTCGGGGTCTCTGCTCCTCCCCCAGCAGCAGTATTTACTTGGCTTGAGCAGTGGTGATGGCTCTCCCTCAAAATGGCAGCTGAGGTCATGTGACATAGCCTCGTGAAGTCTTTTTTTTAATGCATGTAATTTTAATTCTTAAATTTGGGTGTGTGTGCAAACTTGGAGGCTCATCTATGTCAGTACAAACATTCCCCTTTCTCTGTACCTGACCCCTGGGTGTGGATTTAATGCTCCGCACACCAGGGTCCCAGTTCAGAACGAGATATAGGACGGAGGCCCATCCTTCTTAGCACTCTGATCCAGAAGTCATCTCTGGCTACTAACGGTTACCAACCAGGCAGCTGTTCAGTAAGAGAGTCAAGGGGGGAGGGGGGAACCAGGACTGAGAGTCAAACTCACTGGTAGATGTAATCATAAGCAGATGCCTGGACAAGGTAATGGGTGGATGAAGGCCAATAAACTGAAGCTCAGTCCTGGAATGACCGAGGTCCTGTTGGCTAGTGGAGAGGCTGTTCGGGGACTATGGAGCCTGCCTGTCCCGGAGGGAACGGTGCTCTCCTGGAAGGAACAAATTTGTTGCTTGGGGTTTCTCAGGTCCCCTCCGTGGCCCATTGTGCCTTGTGTCAGCTTTGGCTGATATGCCTATTCCTCAAAAAGGTTGTGATGATCCATGCTCTGACCATATCTAGCTTTGTTGTTGTTCAGTTGCACAGTTGAGTCCGACTCTCCGCGACCCCAAGGACCACCTCCCGCCAGGCCTTCCTGTCTTCCGCCGTCCTCTGAAGTTGGCTCAATTTCATGTTTGTTGCATCTATGACACTGCCTGACCATCTCATCCTTTGCCGTCCCCGTCTTCTTTGACCTTCAATCTTTCCCAGCATCAGGGTCTTCTCCAGTGAGGGCTCCCTTCTCATTGGGTGGCCAAAGTATTTGAGCTTCAGTTTCATTATCTGGCCTTCCAGGGAACAGTCAGGGTTGATTTCTTTTAGGATGGACTGATTTGTTCTTCTTGCAGTCCAAGTAATCTAGTTTAGATTACTCTAATGCACTTTATTATTTTATTAATTCATTGATACCCCGCCTTTCTCTCCAATGGGAACCCAAAGCAGCTCACATCTTTCCGCTCTCCTCCATTGTTATCATCACAACAACCCTGGGAGGTAGGTTAGGCTGAGAGAGTGAGTGACTGGCCCCAGGTCACCCAGCCAGCTTCCATGTCAGGGCGGGGATTTGAACCTGGGTCTTCCAGATCCTAGTCCGGCACTGTAACCAGTGTTCCCTCTAAGATGAGTTAGTGTGAGCTACCTCACAGTTTTTCAGCCTCCAGCTCACACATTTTTGTCTCCGCTCAGGGAGGATGGGGCTCCCGAGCAAACTAATCTATGCAGTAGCCAAATCACTCGCTCACAACTTTAATGCCAGTAGCTCACAAGGTAGAATTTTTGTTTACAAGAGTCTGCAGCTTAGAGGGAGCATTGACTGTAACCGCTACACTATGCCAGCTCTCACTCTATGTGAGGCTGCCCCTGAATATCTGGAAACTTCAGCTGCTCCAAAATGCAGCACCCAGGCCACTGCCCGGGGAGGGATATAGGGATCCCGTCACCCCTGCACTGAATATGTTCACTGGTTGCTTGTCCTTTTCCCAGCTCAATTCAAAATGCTGGATCTTACTCATGAGGCCCGGCCATTTTTTCTTCTCACCTTGACCCAGCGAGTACTCCCTCTTTCTGTGTTATACCTCTGAGGATGCCAGTCACAGATGCTGGTGAAACATCAGGTCCTACAATGCCAAGACCACGGCCGCAGAGCCCGGAAAATCCACAACAACTAGAGTCCCTAAATCATTGGGGGCCAGAGTAGACGAAGGGCCGCCTCCCCTTGAGCTATCCATTCCGCTAGTTAAGACCCTCCTCTGAAGCCCTTTCCTTCTGAGCCCCCACCTTCAGATGTGAGGTGGTGGCCAATAGGAACAGGAGTTTTTCAGCAGTGGCCCCTCGCCTGTGGATCGCCCTCCACATCGAAGCTCGCCGGGCATCTCTTTATTTTGGTGCTGGCAAAAATGTTTCAGTTTTACCAGGCTTTTAACTGATGGTGGAAAGTGCCATCAAGTCACAGCTGAGAGCCAGTTTGTTGTCGTAGCTAAGTGCGCGGACTCTAATCTGGGAGAACTGGGTTTGATTCCCCACTTCTCCACATGCAGCTGCTGGATGACCTTGGGCAAACTGTAGTGCTGTCAGAGCTGTTCTCTCAAGGACAGTTTATGTCAGAGCTCTCTCAGCCCCGCCTACCTCACAGAGTGTCTGTTGTGGGGAGGGGAAGGGAAAGGAGTTTGTAAGCCGCTCTGAGACTCCGAGGGAAGGGCGGGGTATAAATCCAATCTCTTCTCCTCTTCTTCTTGGGCAGAGCCAGTTTGGTGTCGTGGTTAAGTGCACAGACTCTAATCTGGGAGAACCAGGTATGATTCCCCACTCCTCCACTCGCACCTGCTGGATGACCTTGGGCAAGCCGTAGTTCTCTTAGGGGTGTTCTTGAAAAAGAGCCGTTTCTGTCAGAGCTCTCTCAGCCCCGCCTACCTCACAGGGTGTCTGTCGTGGGGAGGGGAAGGGAAAGGAGTTTGTAAGCAGCCCTGAGACTCCGAGTGAAGGGCGGGGTATAAATCCAATCTCTTCTCTTCTCTTTTTCTTCTTATGGCAGCTAGGGATGGGCATTAACCAGCTGACGAGCTAAAGCTCATCATAAATTTTGGGCTCTTCGGGGTTTGCAAACGGAAGTTCGCGAAGAACTGCGATGAACCACCACGGATTTCGGTGCCATTCGTGATGGTTCGCGAAGAGCAGAAAGCAACCCCTGCTTTTTGCTCTTCCCTTCAAACAGTTGGAAAATTCACGTGAAAAGAGGCTGGGAAATTCCCGGAGACTAGGGAGGCAGAGCCTCGGGAGGACAGGGCTTAGGGACGCCAGCCTCCAGGCGGGAGGGATGCGGATCCCACAGAATGACAGCTCATCTCCAGACTGCAGAGGAATCAGCTGGGGGGGGGGGATCGATGCCTCGGAGAAGCTGCCTTCTACTGACCCTTGCTCCATCGAGGTCAGGCTTGTCTCCTCGGGCTCTCTGTGGTCTCAGCCAGAGGTCTTTCCCATCACAGATGCCTGCCAAACGGAAGCTCAACCACTGCGCCATGGCCCCTCCCCTTCCCCAACACCTTTGGCCTCAACACGCCCCAGTTCCCTTCTGCAGGCCCTGCCAGTTCAGCAGCTCCTGCCCTGCCAGGCCACAGATCAGCTTCCCCACAGAGCTTTGCTCTTGGAGAGGGCCCCACACCATTCCTTGAAGGGACACTTCACCCACTACACAGTGCCTAACCTGTGTTGGCCCCAGTGGGCACGCTAACCCCAGCCGCCAGCCGCGCATGCCTGAAGGCAAACATATGTCCATCGAGTGTTACAATGAACACGGGAAGTGCAAATGCATCGAAACCATAATATGGGAGCTTTTGGGACTTAAAATGGAAGAAGTTAATATGGCAAAAAGGACACTGATGTGGTATATGATCACAACTGCCAGAATGACATATGCTCAATGTTGGAAACAAGATAAGGTCCCTGAAATTGGGGAATGGATTAAAAAACTACTTTTTATGGTTGAAATGGACAAAATGACAAGGAAACTTAATAATTTGGAAGCAGAAGAATTTTTTGCAGACTGGAAAGATTTCAAAGACTATTTGGAGAAATACTGGGATGTAAAGAACAATTTACTTTGCTTTGAGAACTATTGAAAATTAAAGCATGATAGACATAGATAAATGTATAAGAATAACAACTGAAGGATAAGTTACCTGTGGATGTGAACAAGGGGAAAGGGAGGTATGGAGAAAATTTAAGAATTGGGCTGGAGGTTGGAGCACTGTGGAAAGCCAAGAAGGGGGGGGGAGGGAGGAGGGAAGGATATATAATTGTAGAAGTTTTGATATATGTTTGAACTTTTTTCTATTATATCCTAATAAATTGTTTTTTTGGGGAAAAAGAAACCATAATATGGGAGGTGGGTCTGGGGATTGCCTCGCTGCTTCTATTATGGGATGCCCGGCCATCTCGACAGGGCCTGGGCTCCTCCTTCCAGGGCGAGGTCAGCATCCCAATACAGGGGGCAGCTTGTTCAAAGACAAGCCCTTGCTCCTCGGGCCCTGAGCCAGGTCAGACTGCCAGGGAGGGCCTGCCGTCGCCAACCTGCCGGGTCAGAGAGGCAGTGGCGGCCCTGGATGGGGGTAAGAAACGGATGGAAGCAGCCAGTACCGTCAGGGACTTGACAAGATGTCCCACAGCCCGCTGGGCAGCACTTCTGGTTCTCCTCGCAGTGGGCGTCCGACTGGCACTCTTCCGTGCAGTTCCCGCTGGTCGTCACCGTCTCTGTCCGGGGGCAGGTGCCGGCTTTTTCTGCAAGGGGAAAGGCATAGGGCACAGGTAGCCCCTCGGGTTGTGGGCCTTAGGGAGGGGCCCTTCCCCATCCCGTTCCGGAGGGCAAGGAAATGGCAGGCGGGTGCCCGATGCCCTCGCGCGGATGTTCGGCAGGGGGTCAGGGTGCCCGGCAGACTGGGATCTGGGCTTTGTGCCCACTGCTCAGGCATGACGGGGGCGAGGGATTGTTTCCTGGAGTGGGGCAGGGGTGGGCCGGGCCCGCTGCCGTCTCCTGCCAAAGCCCTGGAACTCACACCCACCTGTCGCGTTCTGTCCAGAGGTGCCCGGCAGCTGTCCAGCGAAGAAGAGGAGGCCCACAAAGGAGAGGAGGAGGAGGGGGCAGCCGCCGTGGCCGGACTTCATGGCGGAGCTGCGAGGCGTCTGTGTGGGGCGGTGGCAGGCCCAAGCTGGGCTTTAAGCTCTCTCCAGGTGTGGCTGACCAAAAGGAAGGGAGGGGGGAGGGGGGGAAAGAGGCCCGGCTCCCAGGTGATGAATAGAGAACAAGCTGAGCCGAACACTCTCCTCATTCCATTGCACAATCCGCACGGATCAGGTATCACCGCTGGCAGGAGAAAAATGCAGGCCGGGAGAGAGGCTGGCTGGGGAGGGCCGGGGAGTCTCTGTGCAGCCAGAGGGGCACTGCTCTCTTTCTCCGGCCGCTCCCGGGCCTTTGCTCTTGCAGCAAGCGGCTGCCCACAACGCTGGAGCCAGAGAGGACCCCGAGATCCCCATGGAGAAGTGGGAGCACACTGGCCCCTTGGCGGACCATGGGGCTGGCCCCTGCTGGCCTTCCGCGGTGGGCCCTTGGGATACGTGGGGACACTGAGTGGAGATCCGGTGGTATTTTCCAACAATGTATGTCCGATGGATGGATTGATGGATGGTTAGAACAGATACAAGGAAGTCCTTCTTCACCCAAAGAGTGATGAACACGTGGAATTCACTGCCACAGGCGGTGGTGGCGGCTACAAGCATGGACGGCTTCAAGAGGAAATTAGATAAACATCTGGAGCAGAGGTTCATCGGTGGCTATTAGCCACAAGGAATAGATAGGAACTCTCAGTCTGGGGCCAGGGATGCTTCTGTCTTCTTGGTGCTTGGGGGGGGCAACAGTGGGAGGGCTTCTAGTGTTCTGGCCCCACTGGTGGACCTCTTGACGGCACCTGGTATTTTCGGCCCCTGTGTGACACAGAGTGTTGGACTGGAGGGGCCATTGGCCTGATCCAACATTGGCTTCTCTTATGTTCTTATAAGAGGGAACTGGATAAAATATGGAGCAGAGGTCCATCAGTGGCTCTTAGCCACAAGGTATAGACAGGAACTCTTGGTCTGGGGCAAGTGGTGCTCTGTCTTCTTGGTGCTTGGGGGGGGGCAACAGTGGGAGGGGCGTCTAGTGTCCTGGCCCCACTGCTGGACCTCCTGATGGCCCCTGGTGTTTTTGGCCACTGTGTGACACAGAGTGTTGGACTGGATGGGCCACTGGCCTGATCCAACATTGGCTTCTCTTCTGTTCTTATAAGAGGGAACTGGATAAACACCTGGAGCAGAGGTCCATCAGTGGCTGAGCCACAAGGTATAGATAGGAACTCTCGGTCTGGGGCAAGTGGTGCTCTGTCTTCTTGGTGCTTGGGGGGGCAACAGTGGGAGGGGCTTCTAGTGTCCTGGCCCCACTGCTGGACCTCCTGATGACCCCTGGTGTTTTTGGCCACTGTGTGACACAGAGTGTTGGACTGGATGGGCCACTGGCCTGATCCTACACTGGCTTCTCTTCTGTTCTTCTGTTCTTAAGCCCTAGTGATCCTTGTGGCTGCCACCAAGAAGACCACATCTAAAAATGCTATGAAGAAGGAAACAATTAGGGAGAAGAGAGGCTGGACTTTCAGGCTTCCACGGAAGGGGTTAGACATTCTGGCCGGAGAGCCAGGGGTGGACAGGAGCCAAGACAGAGCAGGGATGCTGGTGGCTGCGGCAGTCCCTGCCTGCCCTCTTCTGGGACAGGCCTTGAGCACCTTGTGGAGGAGTTCTGCATGTTCAGTGCACAGGGCGGGTGGTCAGACAGCCAGGGATGGCCGCTGCCTTCCTGTCCTACTGTGGCACGGTCCGTCTGGGGATGGATGGAGAGAGACGGGGCTCTGCAGACCGTCAGGCCAACCCGGAACGGCTCTTCTGCTCTGCTGTGTTTGGGCGGTGCCATCTCCACCTTGAGGTCAGGCCAGATTGGCGGAGTCTTTGCCTGCAATTTGTGGCTTGGCCGAATTGCTGAGCAGTCCTGCTTCTGCCCCGCTTCGAGGCTGGATCGCACCAGCTGGTGTTGATCAGGAGGTGGTGGTGGTGGCGAGTGAGCCTGTTGCCTTGGATTGCAGGGGTTCGACGCAGAGGCCTCTTGGCGGTCTTGTCTTGTCAGCCACCATAGAGGCTAGTGCATAGCTGTGAGTCTTGGCCTGCTGGGATGGGAAGGGCTTGCATCCAGACAAATGGGGGCACCCCACAGCCAGCAGCTGAACGAAGCCGGGAGTCCCCTTGCACCTGCATCATCACAGACCCAGTGTCTGTTTTTGTGGCTGAGGACCAGAGGTCCTTTCCTGCAGGAGTGCAGAGGAGTGGAACTTCGGCAGTGAAGAGGCCAGGGGGCGGGCACATGCAACAAGCCCCACCCCCTGCTCCCAGCAGCCCTCAGTCAGAGCAAGAGGCAGCCAGGTAAGTTGCAGGGGGCCCCCGGTCCCCCGGTCCAAAACAGTCCAGTGGCACCTTAAAGACCAAGTTTTATTCAGGTACAAGCTCTCCCTCCTCTGCGAGGACAGATCTGCACGTTTCCCCCCCCCCAATAGCTAGCAATCCAAAACAGTCCAGTGGCACCTTTAAGACCAAGTTTTATTCAGGTACAAGCTCTCCCTCCTCTGCGAGGACAGATCTGCATGTCCCCCCCCCAATAGCTAGCAATCCAAAACAGTCCAGCGGAGCCTGAGCGGTGGCTGTTGCCTTCTGACACACTTCCGGTGATGTCAGGGGGTGTGGCATATGGAAATAACTTGTGCTAATGAGCTCCTGCACCTCTTTTTCTACGAAATGACCCCTGCTGAGGACCATACTAGAAATGGCAGTGCCCACAGATCCAAACCATGGGAGCCGGTTTAAATGGATTTACAAAGGCTGCAAAGGCCTGATCCTGATCAAGTGCGGCAGGCTGAGGGGCTCTTCTTCCTCCCCCTGAGGCGTTAGAAGCGCTGAAGTGGCTGCAACCCCGACCGCTTTGGCACTTGACAAGGTGCAGGGGGAGGGAGATCAGCTGCAATTCCAGGGAATCTCCAGGCTCCACCCAGTGACGGCAGCAGCCCAGGTTGGCCATCCTACTATTTAACCAATCTGTCCTTCTCACTGTTCAGCTGGTGTTCACGGCCTTTGCCTGAAAATGATGACAAGATGGAGAAAGAAGAAGCTGCTAGCTCCGGAGGAGTTGGGAATAAGGGCCTCAAGGTTTATGTCTCTTACAGAGTCATCCTAAGAAGGTCTAAAAGGTAAAGGTTCCCTTGCTCGAAAGCCAGTCGAGTCCGACTCTAGGGTTGGGGTGCTCATCTTCGTTTCAAAGCCGAAGAGCCAGCGCTGTCCGAAGACGTTTTCCGTGGTCATGTGGCTGGCATGACTAAACACCAAGGCGCACGGAATGCTGTTCCCTTCCCACCGAAGTGGTCCCTATTTATCTCCTTGCAGTTTCTTGCTTTCGAACTGCTAGGTTGGCAGGAGCTGGGGCCAGAGACGGGAGCTCACTTCGTCCTGCAGCACACTCGGGTCTCGAACTGCTGAACTACCGACCTTCCACAGCCTGCAGTTCAGCGTCTTAACCACTTGAGCCACCGCAGCTACTCAGAGGTAAATCCCATTTCATTCAATGGGACTTACTTCCAGGAAAGTATTCTTAGGATTGCACTGTTTGTCTCGAGTCAGAGCCTGGCTGCATTGAGAGGGGCCGTTTGGCATGATGCGACTCCCAATACTGCACTGGGAAATGGGCTGCGTCTCCATGTGCTCTGGCCAAAGAACGTCTCCTTTGGCCTCAACGTGGCCCCCTGCAGATGGACGAGTGGGCAGGAGCCAGAAGCCAGTGAAGCTGCAGTCAGAAGGCCAGGCAGTTCTGTGCCTGCTTGAATGGAATCAAGCTAAACGCAGATCCTGTCTCTCTTCATGCGGCCGCAGAAACGGATTAGAATCCCCACTTCATCTATAGATGTACTTCCAGTTTGGTGCAGTGGTTTAAGTGCGCAGACTCTAATCTGGGAGAACCGGGTTTGATTCCCCACTCCTCCACTTGTACCTGCTGGATGACCTTGGGCAAGCCATAGTTCTGGCAAGCTGTCCTTGAAAAAGAGCAGTTTCTGTCAGAGCTCTCTCAGCCCCGCTTACCTCACAGGCAGTGTTCCCTCTAAGCTGAGTTAGTGTGAGCTAGCTCACAGTTTTTTAGCCTCCAGCTCACAGATTTTTGTCTTAGCTCAGTAAGGAGGGCTCCAGAGCAAACTAATTTATGCAGCAGCCAAAACACTCGCTCAAAACTTTAATGCCAGTAGCTCACAAAGTAGAATTTTTGCTCACAAGACTCCACATCTTAGAGGGAGCATTGCTCACAGGGTGGGAAGGGGAAGGGAAAGGGGTTTGTCAGCTGCTCTCCTCCTTCTTCTTTATATAACTCCTCGACTTTGCTGTCAGAAAAATATCAAAAGTGGTTCCAGGCTGTATGGTTTCCTATGATCAATTATTTAGAAAATAGCGAAACAATTCCAAACAACCCGGTTTATAGAAATTGATTGTTCTTTTGATTGCATTGTACTGTAGTTGATTATATTACCATTCAAAATAGCCTTATAGTTAGCATAATTTCCTGTTTGTATTGAACTTTTTAGTTATCTGACCTGGCTAATGAAAGCCTGTGATCTTCTTTTCTGTACCCTCATTGAATGTTATCTAATGTTGAAATAATTTTTGTTTATTTATTGCCAATCATTGTTGTAACAGTACTGGAAAATTTAATAAAACATAAATAAATAAATAAATAAAAGAATCCCCACTTCACTGCAGAGGAACTCCTGACCTGAGGGAAGGCCAGCCTTTGGCCACTCCCTTGGTGACGGACAGCGCCCGACTCCTTCAGGGACCTGGCGGGGACACCCTGTGCTTGGAGCCGTGACTGCAGGAAGAACAGAGGCGGGCGGGGATCTTGCGTGCAGAAAACTTGGAGTTGCTGCGTGGGTCAGTTGTGAACGCCCAGCTTCACTTCTCAAGCGTTCTGTTGCGTCTGCTGGGATCTCCCCTCCCCCCCCCAACCGGGCTATCCCTGGCCCATGCAGGGGAGTGCATGATACTTGCACCCCACTTCACCAAGT